CCTAGGGCTTACCTCATCTTCCTTGCTTCAAGTTACAGACATTTCCCTTTGTCTATGGGCAGCCTGGTCTGGTGGCTGGCAACCCTGCTGTGTGCAGGGGTGTTGAAACTAGATGATCATTGTGGTCCTTTTCAACCCAGGCCATTCTGTGATTCTATGATACGATTCTCTGACCAGTCTCCTTTTGGCAACAGCCTCTTCTGTGCTTTCTGTGCTGGGAGAACTGCCGGCCCTCCTGCCCTACCTGCAAGTCTCACAGAATCAAGGCTGGAAAAGACCGCTATGATTCAGTCATCAACCCACCACCACCTTGCTGGCTTAAGGGCACAAAGCCAATCTGCTTTATGCTCTCTTCAGAGGGAATACACTGTTTCCAAGTGGGTGCCTATGAAACAGCACAAAGTTTAGTCCAAGTCACCTCCAACTTCTTATTTCCAGTTGCTTTCCTAACTCTGTGCTTGATACGAAATTCCACACACCAGATATTGCAGTCAAAATGAATGTTTTATGCGTATACATTCAACAATCTTTGAAGCCAAAGCTAAAGAAAGGAGATAGTCCCACCCATGCTAAATAAAAAATTTTAATAAGAAAACAATCAAAAATAAAATATTTTTAATTCTTTTGCTAAGAACCATGTACTTATCCACATTCACAAACAAAAACTACTCTTGTTAAAAGATGTATTTTGAAAATGTATTGGAAAAGGGAAAGATTAATGCTATCTGCAGCTGTTATTTGGTAATGAGCACTCAAGGACAAGTTGCTGCAAATGTACTTTTCTGTGTTTTAGCTGTGCTGACTTTAATCATGCTTGAAAGAACTAGGCACTGGTTGTCAATAAATTGTTTTTAATGCCTACTTGCTCACAGACTTCTGTGTGTCTCATTCCTTTTTCACTTTCTTTCTTCTTTTTGGGGTTCCACTGAGTGCAAATGTCCTTAGAAATTTACAGGGAGGTATTTTATAGTCAACCTTATCCTTACAAAAGATATAAAAGGAAATAAGAACTTAGGTACTACTTTTCATCCCTTGATCTCAGAGCAATTGCAAACAAGGCAGCAGCAAGCCCTCACATGGCTTATCAGAGATGACGGGCAGATACTTGCTGTCTCCTGCTCCCTTCTGTGCCCCAGGGAAGGCTAAGTTCAGCAGACACCACAAATAAATTAATAAACAGACATTCATTGTGCCCAGCGCTTTCTCATCCCCTCTTCATTACTCAGAGCACATATCTCAGTTCAGGTTTTATAGCCAGATGCAACAAGAGGCCACACAACTGGCTCAGAAACGTGGCTTTGTGCAACAGCCCCCTGGTAGGAAGGGTAGATTTCTCCAGACTGTTAGGTACCAAAAGCTTTCTCAACTACCACTGCCGCAATTAGATGCAATTTTAAGTATCCCATTACTGGGAAGTCTCACTGTATTTCCAGGTAAAGTCACTTCATATAGAAATAATTACAGTTATATAATAATTAGCTCAAGAAGTGCTCTGTTGCCTGATACTCAGGGAGCCAGGATCAATAGTGAGTGCAGGATTTGCATGAATTCCCAGTAAACGCAGCTGTGAGAGCTCCTGGGCTTTGAGATTATATACATGGCTACATAGGACACCATAATTTCATTAGGTATGGTTGGTTTTGTGCGTTTTCTTTCTTTATGACAGTTACAAAATTACAGACTCAAGGCTTTCTGCAGTGTGATGCCTTGTGTAAGGCACTGCCTGCCATATTCTGCCAAAACAAATTAGCTGCTGGCACTAGGACTAGATTCATTAGGACCCAAAGGAAATTATATCACTGAGAGCTGCTCTCAGGTGCTTGTGATCTCAGACATATGCCAGCATCTTCTCAGGGAACCTTGGGGAAAAGCCCTTAAACTTTTACCAAGCAATTCCAGACAACACTCCTCTTCCCTAATCTTCAGCAGAACGATCACTGAAAAAACTTTGAAGATGAGGCTAGAAATAAAGACGTACAATAGAAAAAATGATCCCAACAGAAAGGAAATGGGAGCCACAGGCAATAACTGTAGAGTCTATTAAGGAAGGATTATAAAGTCCTTGTGCACATTCCTGCCAATGCTTTTAGCAAGGTTCACAAAGGAAGAAATGTATAATTTATTAAAGGAAAAAAACGTGTCAAACCCATTTGTAGCTTGCATGACTTGCCTGAACGCCCATGACAAAGACACTTAAAATTTGATGGTAACAGGCAAGAGGCTGAGGCCTGCCCGCTCCGAGACCAAGCATGCTGCTAGCCATGCTAAAGCAGGATTTGTTCCCAAGCAACACCAAGAAGGCAGCTCTTCAGAGCAGGAATTCAGGGCACACATTGGTGTTGGACAGCACATCAGCATTAGGGCAGCACTGCCCCACAAACACAGCACCCCAAAGCAGAAGGCTCCAATACTGCAGCAATTGAATCGGCACGTGCTGCACTCATTGCCTCATCTACACTATGTCACCCTCGTGCTGCCAGGTCACCAAGCACAGGTGACATCATATTTGTCCTAACACAGAAATCAAAGCTGGCCAGGGATTCTCCATCTCAGAAAAATACACCAACACTACAGTATACGAAGTATATACCAAATGTATCAACATTTTCTATGGGCAAACAACGGTTTATTAAGGATTTTCCATTTTACCACCAACCTAAATTAAAGTTGTTATTTCAGAAGGGTTCTACACCAGGACATATTTTTTGATCAACCCAACATTGCATTGCAGCTTCTTATTCTGGGAATGTCTCTTCCTGGTTCAGATGCCCATTTCTTCCAAGAACTGTTTGTTTTCAGCAGCTTCACTTCCCACAATACAAAGTGGGTTTCCCTCTGACGAAGCTCTCCAGCACGTCTTGGACATTTAATTAGGAGAGAAGGGCCTCAGATAATGAAAAAGGAACATCACGCTCCTGAACCAATGCTTCTGAAAAGTAATAAACTGTGGTAGGGAAATGCAATTTAATTTTGAACTGACTCAGGAATTTCCCATGAAACATTAATTCTATTTTCTGCTCACCTCTGAGCGTCAATCTATTTTTCTTACGCAGTTTAGGAAGGTTGTGAAAGGTGTGGTAAAGCTCTGCTTCCAAAGTTGTGAACTCATCCTCCCTGTCCCTTTTTGCCATAGCCCTGGGGAGGGGGATGCCATCTGAAAACAGAAGTCAATAGTACCAAGCCATATCAGAGGCAATGCCTATTCCCTGTAGGACCTGCTATCTAAATACGAGTACTCCCTTCCATTTTGCAGGGGCTTAGAAAACCTAGCTTGCTTAATGCTGCACAGGAATCCAGTGCAAAAGCAAGAACAACCACAGCTCTGCTAAGACCCACTGTAATTTTTTAGTCATCCCAACATACATATTTTTTCTCAAACTTCTTCCACTTCAATAGCAAAACAAAAATTACCTTAATGTTAGAGCCAGCTGGCCTGCATATTTTGCATGGGACTGAAGTGTTTAACTAGTCCCAGCTAGTTAGGAAAACATCCAACTACTGTTAACAATCAGAGAACTGGCTTAAATGGCATTTATCACTCCTGTAATTGTTCTTCTCTCCATAGTTCCACTACAGGTTCTGCATTTCCCTCTCCTTCATCCCCTACATTTAACCACACAGAAGATAATTCACAGCAGATCACAGAAGTATAGAATCACCAAGGCTGGAAAAGACCTCCAAGATCATACAGTCCAACTGCCCGCCTACCTCCAATGTTTCCCTTAGTCCAACAGATCTGCTCACCCAGGTGTTTTGCAAAATTCTAGAAAGCTGATCAAAAGGTTGATCAACTTGATCAAACAGAAGAAAGATAATAAAACATATCAGATCTATCATCTTTCCTTCAAACGCTTCTATTTTAGTTCATTCCCTTGCACGTATTTTGCGACACTGCATGAGTCTCTTTGTGCTTGTATGTATAACCAGAAATGCTCGGTGTTCCAGGAACCTGCAGGCAGTACCCACTTCCTACAGCTCCCGTGGGCACCACTGACACGTCAGGAATGCTGAATATATTTGGGTGACTGGACACCGACACCAAGGCTAAGAGCATCCCTGTAGCAAATGTGCAGTACTTGTGCCCAAAATACATGATAACAATGGTGCTGCCATTTAGGCGATTCTCATAGTATAAATCCTGAGGAAACTCACTATATGAGTTCTTGCTAGGCAACTAATTTTACATCCAACTTCCCACTGAGTTGCCGATATTTACTTGTGGTCACAGAAATAGCACAACTTCACCCAAAGTGTTTGGGAAGTATACAGAAAATATCACTGATCAGTGCAGAGATGAATCCACTGGATACTGAAATTACTTTTGGTAAGTTGTGGAAAGAACACAACAGTTTGATTCTTCTTCTTACTCACAAACTCACCATTTAAGTAAAGGGGAATGCATACATTTTTTTCATTACTGATTGATAGGATTGATTTTGCTTAGAGAAAATGTAAAAGCCAAAATATTAAAAAGTATAAATGCCAAAAGCCAAGTATTATCTGAGAGCTAACAAACAAAAAGTTTAAAGATAATGAATGCTGTGTTGTGATCAAACTCACAGAAAGGAAATAGCAGGTAAGCGAATCCCTGGCCAAACAAGCAAACAAATACTGATTATGTTCTCTGCATTGTGGAAAACAGTTAGCTTTTCAACTGTAACAAAAAGCATTTCAGGCAGCACATCTCTCTGAGAAGGGCAAAGGTTTGTAACAAAATCCAGCTGATAGGAAAACAGCACTCAAAATTGTAAGGAAAAGATTATTAAAGACAAAGACTCCCTAAATACATCAAAACAAGAAACCCTGTGAGTTAACCCATTGTTGGGGAATACAGTTTAAACAACTGTATTGGGAAAATAGGGCAAAAGAAATCATGAGGGAAAGCATTACTTGGATATCTACCTTAAAGAACTCCTGGGCTCCAAAAACTGAGCTCCAAAAGCAGAAGGAAAGCAGAGACACCACTGCAGCAAATGGCAAAAGGCAAGCTTCCTACTTACCCTATGGTATGCACCATGATCCCTTCTGCCACCTCAGTAATTCCACAGAATCCAGAACTATGGTACTTTTTCAAGGAGTATTAGAGTCTTGAGAGGAGACAGAGGAAAGCTGACAGGCAGAGCTTTGCGAGGAGCCAGGCGGACAGGGATGAATTTAAGCCCTGGCTCAAGATGCTGTGTATTCTGCGTCTATCTTTAACTTGTAAATGATTTGGTTTCACATTCCTCTGAAGTCCTGCTGGCAGATGCCTTTGTGGAGCTCTTACCAATCACAGGCACCCAGACCCCCTCCCTCCTCTCCCTCTCCCCAGGCCGACATTCCATCCCCACGTCGCCCCCATGCACAGCACATACCTCCCACAACACAACACGCACAGCACACGCACACTCTTCACCTCAACAAAAATAACCCCCTCTGCAAGCGGCTCACACGCACTGCCACCAAACACCGCATTCTGAACGTGCTCCTTTACATTCTGGAGGCTCGCTCAGCCTGTGTGAATACACTGAAATAATCCCGTCCTTCCTTGGAAGCTGCTGCAAAACATGCTGTTGTGGCACTTGGGAATAAAAATGCTTTAAGTGGCGCAGCTTATGTTCAGCGTGTGGGGACCTGGGATCATTGCTTGTGCCAGAACTACCATCAGTCACAGTCCCCGAGTTCGAATCCTGCAGTCACCGATTTAATCACAGTAAGAAACAGGATCACCACAAAGCATTTTCTGTGGATGACTGCAAATGCCACCACTTAGGGAAAGAAGGGTGCAGAACAGCATTCTGTCATTCCAAGCTCCTGCAGAAATGCATATCTGGATGCTGGCAGCACCTTAGCCCATACAGAGATCTATAGAGAGAAGCTGAGTATAGAATTAAAAAGAACCACACTTGATTTCAAATGTTAAGACTCTAAACTTTCAATCTTTGTAAATTTGTGTCTCCTTACAATACCAATGCATTGCAATTTTGTTCAGAAGTCAGGCTCCGAAATAATTAAACTACTGATTCTTGGCAGCTTTCAATGCAATTAAGTGAACAAGTCCTTCCACAAAGCACAGAAAGTCAGGATTACTATTGGTGACTTCAGGAGTCAATACTGTTGACGCAAACCCCTGGCTCTTGATACCAGCCTTAGGAAGCAGCTGGTTTTTAATCTGTAAATGTGCATTCGGTTGAATACTGCTTGCCATCAGGATTTCCTTATCTCAAAGACTGGTGCTAATGGAACAACACTGTATGTAAAACACATGAATTATTGAACGCTTTGTGTTAAAACTGGAAAACACCAATTTACTGTCACAACAGTTCAAGCAGAAAAATACAGTAAATATCTGTTTCACAGTCCTTAGCCTTATCCTGCTGCCAGCACAGGTCAGGGCAGGGGGCGTGAGGCCAAGCTGTGTCCAGCATCACTTAGCTAAAAGCACAGTTTATAAATGCTCTGCCAACGGCCTACTTGATGAGACTTTACACTTTCCAGAGCACCGGTGTTGAGAGGCAAGGCTGATGTAGTAATAAAAGTAAGTATGCATTTACTCCAGGCTAACAGAGAAAACAGCTCAAACTTGGAAAGGCTGAAAGGGCTGTAAAAGGATATTCTGAAGGGCTGTACATTAGTGAAAAAGAAGTCTGCACTTCATCTCTGACGAGCTACTGTTCACGATGCTCCTGCAGGAGACAAAGTTGGATAAAAACACAAAGTGCACACCCCTGCTGTGGTCAGTCTTGCAGGCAAAAAAGGCAACAGCTCCTAGCTTGGAGTCAGCTAAGGTTCACACACCTGGAAAAGCTGCCCGTAACATACAAATATTAAGGAATAAACTAGCTGACAACATGATTCCTGAAGAATCAAAAGATTTATTTTGAGTCGCTAATCTTTTCTACTATTAGCAAATACAGACTTCAGTATGCTTGATGTCTGCTTTGCAGAGAACTTTAAAACTCCAGTAAGCAAAAAATATGCCACTGACTTCCTGCCAGATATTAAGGCAGTCATTCAACTTCTCCTCTGCCTCAGGTCCCAAAACTGTGGCCTGCTGATAGCAGGATTCAAGGACCATCTCTATTATTCAGTTTTAGGAGTTGCTGTGAATTGCAGAAACGATGCTAGCACTGATTTCCAATAGAGCCACATCTACCATTACAAATCTCTTACACCAGAGAAAGTCTTTCCACTGCAGTGACTCCCATTCAAACAGAGCAACTCCATGCTGTGTATGACAACACTGTACCTCAAATCAGTGTTCTTAAACTGTTCTGCAGGGATGGGAGACCCAAAGGGCAGATAAGCACTAGAAGCAAAGTTAACATTAGGTTTTAAGAAGCACAGTGCTTTAAAAGCTCAGAGAGAGAAACAAGAAAGAGGAAGGCAAGTTGTGCTTTTGCGGCTGAGGGCTCCTTTTCATGAACACAACCTGCAAGGAGAAAACAGCTCTCCATGGAAGAAAGTGTGATGCACCAATGTGATGGATCGGAAGTGAAGAATTAAGACTGAGCTGTTTCTTCGATTCCAATCTACTTTTAGAGAGTGCTCAACTGAGGGGGAAGCAATGGATCCACAAAAGTTTTATCTGATTGGTTTACTAGATACAGGGAAAAAAATAGATTAGGTTTTGGATCCTCTAAAAGAACACTAATTATACACTTCTCATGTCTCATAAAATGTTAATTATAAACATAAGAGTATGTAGAGGTGGAGCTTTGAAAAATTGGGTGCTTCAAATTTCTGGCGAAGCTTGATGGTGATGTAGACAGCAAGATCCCATTGCCATGAATGGGACAGAGAGGTCATATGTCCAAAAACTGTTTCACATAAGCCAAAGGAAAAGACAGGTGTCCAGTTTCCTCAAATGAAGAGGCGTACAGCAATACCAGTGCCTAAGATGGCCAGAGCTGAGCATGGCAGCCAGTACAGAGCATGGTTGGGTGAGATTTACCAAAGCTAGGAGGACTACTGCTTTTCCTCTCTTAGCAGGGCCTGTTGCTTATAAAAATCACTAAATGCAACAGACTGGGGAGCACCCAGAGACATACAAATACAAACTAATAATAAGTTGCTGGAGGGGCAGGAGCTGGAGAGGAGAGAAAGATGAAGAAGTGAGAGTAATTTGGTCACGAGTACAAATACGTAACACATTTGAAACCATGTGACTTCCTACCCATTTCCAATTTAGCCCAATGCCTAAGAGGCATGCTCTGTCCCTTCATATTCAGCTATTTTTAACGTGCATAGAATTTGCTCTTGATCTTCCCTTCTCTGTCAGCATCTTGAATTCATTTCTCTTGACAGCCTTAAGATTTGAGCTTACTGGGACAAGCAACATTTTTCACCCTACGGGTTCTGTCCTTCTAAGTCTTACTCAGAGTAATTCTTGCTCATGGGAACAATCTCTTTAACCTCTACAGCTGATTTCAGCACAGGCTCGTTCAAGAGTAGGAGTTTTGAGTAGAGGACTGCCATTACATTAACAGAAATGCAGTTCCATGTGTCATGGTGGATCAAACACATGGACTTTTTTCAGTGATACTTAAATTGACCCCATTACCCCCAGTCTATCTCCAGACCTTGTGACTCAGCTGCTTGGTTACACCAGGAGTCTTCTCCGGTGAGGTCCAAAAGTCAAGGTTAGGCCAAGAATTGCCCTACACGTTGCTCCTCTCCTACCTACCACCTTTGTACTGAGCCATAATAGTATATCCTGAGTTGGAAGGGACCCTTAAGAATTATCTAGTCCAACTCCTGGCTTCACACAAGAAAATTCAAACTGAAAGCCTATGCCTGAGAGTGCTGTCCAAACGCTTCTTGAGCTCCAACAGCTAGGGGCTGTGACCACTGTCCTGGGCAGCCTGTTCCATGCCCACTGCCCTGTGGTGAAGAACCTTTTCCTAACCCCCACTCCAAGGGTACAGCTGTACCCCTGTCATAGCTCCAAGCCATTCCCTTGGGCCCAGTTCTGTCAGCAGAGAGCAAAGCTCAGCGCTGCCCCTCCACTTCCCTGTGAGGAGCTGTAGGCTGCCTGAGGCCTCCTCTCAGCTTTCTCACATTTTGTTATCCAGGCCCTCCTTTGAACACTCTCTAATAGTTCTATGCACTTCTCGTAGTGTGGCACCCAAACCACAGTGCTGGAGGTGAGGCCGCACAGTGCAGAGCAGAGTGGCACAGCCCCTTTCCTCACCCACTGACAGTGATGGGCCTGATGCACCCCAGAGTACAGGTGGCCCTTTGGGTTGCCAGAGCACACAGCTCTCATTTAACTTCTTGTCAACCAGAACCTCCAAATCCCTTTTTGTGGCATTGCTCACAAGCTTCTCATCCTCACTCTGTATATACATCCGGTGTTGCATCATCCCAGGTACAGATTCCAGCACTTTCTCATATTGAATGTCATGTGTTTGGTGGCTGCTCAGCCCAAGAGAAGAAAAAAAAGAGACTGAAAGAGATGGAGAACATGTAGTGAAGTCAGTGGGGATGGGGGCTCTCGGTGTCATCCCACAGCACCCACCCCCTTGCTGCTCTCATGACACAGCACTGGGAGGCAGCACAGGAGACCAACGTGTCCTCAGCCAGGCACAGCACAGCCCCAGCCCTCAGAAGGAGACTAGCTGCTCCATGGAGACCTGTTCTGGCACCTGGGCACTGAGATGAGTCCTCCTACTGCTCCCAGGAAGCTCGCCACTGAACAGTAAGCCGCTTACTTGAAAAATACCAAAGAGAACAACCAGAATAATTCTCCTTCCACTTACCATTAATACAAACATTAAGTAAATGAAAAAGACTACTCTTCTTGGTAGACATCTAAATTGATCAGTAAAACAAAGACCTCTGAGATTTAACAAAATCAAAAGAACTTAAATCAGTGAGTCATCGTAAGTCATTTTTACTTCACTGAAAGGAAAAATATGTATTTTTTAAAAAAAGAAATAGCACGGGAAAAAAAAAAAAGACAGGTAAACCTAATTGCACCCAGTGCTGAGTCCTGGCAAAGTCCTTCCTGGCCTGATGGTGCTTACGGATAAATAAAAAAGGCTGTATCATCCATTATTGGTTCCCTGCCTGAAAATGCTGAACTTGAAAGGTTTGAAGTGACAGCTGTATTTCATTAAAGTTGCTTGGTGAGCAGTGCATCTCATGAAGATTGTTTTCCTAAGGATTTAAGGACCTTGTTAATTACTGCTCCCAATGACAGCAATC